GGTATTTCTCTCTCGTATTTAGCATACAAACAAGGTGACAGGCTTGTAAGAGCAGCCACTGGCTGGACAGCCAGACCCCCTTCCCTCCCCAAATCCGTATGCCTCCATGAATGCTGCAGTATCCTTTTTCCAGACTGAATAACCACAAGCCAATGAAGGAATATTGTGTTTGTTTTTTTAATAAAGCAGTGGTGCGAGCGGTGTGAACAGCAGGGGTGCCGATTTCATGCTTCCCTGCTCTTGTAAACAGTGGAAAGGCAAAGACAAGGAACTAACTCAATCGCTGGATTATTCATTATGGATGAACACCTAACAGTGGCATAGTACATCTCCGGCTGCAACAGAGCCACCGAACAGCAAGAGCCTCTGTGAACCACAGTCAACAGTATCAGAGGCAAAGCAAGCGCTGCTCACTTTATGGCTTTTCACTCTCATGTCACGAGCCGTGGGTCTGTGACAAGCACCGAAAGGAAACTGGCACCCAAGGATAGGTACCTACAGCTGGGCTTACCACGTGTGCTAGCAGGTACAGGACTGCTTTTGGGTGCTTGCACAGGCAGGCAGATACGACCATATATATGCACATGTCCAAGCACTGGGCATGCACCAGCCAGGCAAACTTCTGACAAATTCACAAGCTGGCCCTCAGAAATAATCCGGATTAGCCCTAAATCCAGAAGAATAAACGCAAAGTGTTTCACAGAGTGGATGCATATTGATATTGCACACTCTGGATTTCCTCAACCTTAAACTCTCTGGGATGTTTCTCTTTTTAAGCACTGGACAGATTAGTCTGGGACATTCAAGGTTCTCCCCAGAGCAAGGCATTCCTGCTCCACGGGCCCCCTGACGCCCAGCCCCGCACGCTGCACTGCCAGCAGCACCCCAGCCCAAAGGGAATTCTGCACTGCACCTTTCTGAACTCAGCTGCAGTCGGGACTGTCTCAGAAGGCCTTTGTACAGTTAGGTCACATTAAGCGTTTGAGATTAGTACCAATAAAGTGATGGATTATGTCATCCAAAAATACAAAATTGGTCTCAGAACCTGGCTTTAAGGCATAGCTGAGGCTATTTTTTACCTATCTCCAACTTCTGCCCTTAAAAAAGGCTTTTGAACTTCTCTCTGCAAGCATGTTGATGAAGGACAACTTCAAAGAAGGTCAAAATGTGAACAGATTCAGTGATCTTCAGAAGACGGATTTTATCAGAGCGTGTCATCACTAGACACGGGAATTAAATCCTTAAAGCCAGAAACACTATTGTACCTTTTGGAGTCTGAATCCTAATGGCAGTGGGGTGGAAGGTGTCAATGTGGGTAGCGGTCCCCTCCATTCCCTTCCTTTTTTCAAGAACTTTCCCTACGTTACTCAATTCAATTAGGTATGATCCTACATCTTCCGTATGTTTATTCCAGATCACAAAGTTAAGAACAACCAGAAAAGACTGCTTTAAAGACACATAGAAAGTGTCTTCTTTATGAATAAGACCCACGAGACTTGTGTTTATCCCCCGAAAAGCGGATACTGCATAAATAAATCAAGACAGTACAAGGAACCAATTGGATCCCCAGGCTTCTTCTGAAGGTGATGTGGGATCCTACAAATGATTCAGTTGGTTACAGACCTTTGTGCTGTATAAACGAGAAATTGGCGCAAATCTTTCCCTTTGCCCCAGGTAATGGTGTAGGTGGGAAGTAAACTCCTTGTACTGTCTGATTTGAAGTGGTTCAGTAGGGCAGGACGAGAGGTGAATGGAGGATGGTTATTCTAGGTAAAGGGACTGGGGTGGGCAGTAGGAATCGCTTCACTGGTGAAGTCCTCACCATTCCTTGTGTAATTAGCCACTTGTCTATGGGCTCCATGTCTGAGTTCCCACCTTTACCTCTCCTCTGTGTTGAGAACAGAAAGGTCCATAAAGAGAGAAACCACAGCAACAACCCATGATAAAGTCATATAACAGCAGCAAGTTAAGAACTTCCCATACACATACATACACACACACACACACACAGAGTTGCCCATGGTAGCTTCTGGCAGCAGCTGCATCTCCCTCTGCTGCCTGTCAGCTCTGCCTGTGGAGGGACAGAGCTCACCTCGACCTCTGCACTTCCTACAGACAGTTCACAGAATTTTAGCACTTCCTCCATGCTGATATTAAAAAATAAAAAGAAAAATCACTGACTAGTAGTGAGGCTGATGTTTGTCATCTTCTTAGAAGAAGAAAAAGTGTAGGTTATACAACCTACTAAAATCATTCAGCTTTACTGAAAACACTAGTATTACACACCGTAGAGTTTCCCTTGTTTATGAAGCTGTGAGTTGCAGCACACGCTGTTTACCTCCTTGATCTCAGCAGACTCTCCCCCAAACTCCAACAGTGCGATAGCTCTAATGATGGCGTCGAGCAGGAGGGTAAGTAATGGCAGTTTGCTGCAGTGTTCTGGCAGTCTTTCAAACTGCCCCTCTCAAAGAGCGGCAGAGGTTAAAAGGACCGCTGATGCATCCAGTTTCTCTGAGCATGTTGCAGACTGCACGGCACAGCAACATAAAGACTCTCAAGATTGGCTTCTTGTCCTTCAGCATCTCATCCCTGAGCCCGGACGCAGAGTCATCTCTAGCTCTGGAGCAGCTTGCTCAGGACCGGCAGAGCGCAGCGGTTCCAGCCCACCAGCCCTGCCAGAACTGGGCTAGCTCAGCAGAGAGCTGCCGGTGTGTTTATATACCTCCATCCAGATACTCATACATGTGGGATACCTCTCCTGTCCCCATTACCACAGATAATAGAGAATCAGCTGTAATCTTTTATGTCTAATTTCAGCAATTGTGCTGAGGAAACAAAGGGGGAAATCACTCCAACTTCATCTACTATCTGTGTAACACCAGAGAATTGTTTCTTGGACGCCTCTCCTCCCAGTTGTGATCATGCAACAACTCTGTGGCAACAAAAGCAATTCCCAACATGGAAAAGCAATATTAAGAAAACAGTGTATTTTTAGCTCGTCTTGTTTCCAGCTGCTAAATCATATTAAAAGACAGCTAATGCCACGTGATCAGCCATCTCTCTACAGACCATTCTGAGAACGACTACATTACAAACGTCGGATGTGCTGAATTTTACCACTGGACAACTGTGCTGGAACAAGACGAGTGTGAAGAATGTGTTGCGAAGATTTTGGCTCCTCCCTAGAGCTGTTCTTAAATTAGCTCTCTACCCAAATTAATGCGTCTTTCGTTTACTGAGCACTGCCAGTTTTTTGCTACGCATGCTGGGGCTGGTGACTTCAGCAGAGTTTAATTTTTATTTCCTTTAAGAAGAGACACCCACAAGCCTCACAACACTAGATGAAAAGTAGTGTTTACCAATTACTGAAAGACTGCATTTCAAAGCAAGCCATTCTGATGACATGATACGGTCATCAGGACCTTTGAAAAGAGGCTGAAAGTCTCTACAACATCTCAGAGCCCAAAGTTCCACAACCCGTAAAGCATTTGCCCCAAAAAACTTTGACCATCAGATTAACTTAGACACAGCCCTTTGAACTGACAACACTTCAGGGAGAGCAGCAGCTACGCTGGTGTGACTGACACGTCGCATTGGTGCCTCAAGCAGAACTGGCTGAGAACAAAAGTGTTAATAAATAAGGACATGACCCCATGGCCACCAGGGGAATACAGCCCCCCTGACCAGTAGCTAAATGCAAGCCCCTTGCGTTTGGGTAGCCAGCAACAAAGAGCAGAATCGCAAAACCTTTCCCAATAACGCAGCTCTGTGATACCGGGGGCTTGGACTGTCACACTGGCTTCAGGGATTCCTCTCTCGTTCCTGCTAAATATACTTCTGTCCCTCCCTCCCCATGCTTCCCCCTTTTCCCTCAGTACTGCTGGCATGAGTTTTTCCGGGGCTGAGCTTGAAACTGGCCACAGGGATGACCTGGGGCTTAAATTACCCTTTTTGCAGGAGGACAGGGACAGGAACAAGCAGATAGATTTGCGGGGCGGTGGGATGCTCCATAAGAAATCATTGCTGAAGCCCGGCTACCACTGAACTGTGGCCCAGGCAGGCAGGCAGCTGTGATCTGACCCCAAAAATGCCAGCTGCCCTGAGCCCTCCCATTTCAGCTTATGAAAGAACCAGGGCGGGATCAGCCAAGGCATGGGGAGGCAATTCTCCATGGAGGGAGGCGTGAGCGTGCTGCACTGGCTCTCCCATGCTACACTGGCTCTGCCGTGCTCCCTAGTGGTCAGCACAGACCAAAATTAGACCAGGAAAAGTCTCTGAACTTACTCTGTCACCTAAAAACTTGCACGCAGCTGAATACAAAAGAGCAGGACAGTTTTAAAAAGCAGGGTGGTAGAAAGGGGTCGAGAAATGATCTGAAAGCTCTTTTCACTTCTGCCGTCACCAAGGTATGCAGACAAAGCTGGCCAAGCTCGCTCTCTCGCACACGTTTCTAGCTGTGAGGTGACAGCGCATGGGCCTCTTCTGCCCACAAAAGATAGCAGGAGCCTGCCCTGGGACAGACAGAACAGACTGCTTGCAAGGGCAGTTATGGTAAGGCATGTGAAGCATTAAAAGTCTATGTAATTTCTCTCCCTGTAACTTGCTCATGTATCCATGCACTTAGAGTGAAGTCTGGTAGATTAAGACTGCATCAACTTTCATAAACAAAAACAAACCAAACAAATGCACGCCAGTGTTCACAAGACATTCCCCACTTATTCTTCTCAGCAGTGATTCCAGTCAAAGAGCTGGACCCGCCAGGCAAGCTGCAAGAACACAGGAGAATTTACCCACTATGATTTTGAAGTCTTTTGGTGTGCTAAGTAGCAGGTCTTTAGAAATCATTACTGAGCAAGTACTTGCTCCTAGATATCCATTTCAAAATAGCCAGTACTAGCGTGTTGCTGGAATACAGAATGATAAGTCTCGGTCAAAGCAGCTGCCTACAGCTTAGATTCCACGCACGGCTTCAGATAACAAAACGCAGAGCAATGACCTACCCCTCCTGTGTTCTGTTTTCGAACATCCAGGGCAGACGCTAGTCCTTTGACAGCCTGTGGATCCTCATACGTCACACTGAAAGAAAGGAACAAACAGAACTAGAAGGAAGCCCAGAAGTCACCCATGCAGAACACACTTGCTACTCTGATTTACTCCCCTGGAAATCAGAAAGCACATTCTTTTTCTTAACAAGCCTTCAAGTGTATTAAGTGTATTCCAAGAAGGGGAGTGTGCTCTGTATAAAGACCATCCATCAGTTTCAGTAAGCATGTGGAAGCAAAAAGAGTAAGACTGGCATTATGAAAGGTAGGCAAATAGGTTACGAGGCACCATAAGTGCATCCAAGAGCCAGCAAGGAACTATGAAAAGAGGCCTGATTACAGATTATGCTTTGCAAAGCTTTGAAGATGATACTTGGAAGCCTGACCTTAATGCACGCATAGGGGGAGGCAGAGGGAGACCCGAAGACAGATGAAGCATAACTAAGCAGTAAAGCATACAAAGAAATGCACTATTTACAGAGGTTGGATTTTTAAAATGCTTCTTAAATTGCTATTCAAAAGGGACACGTAGCAGTCAGGTGACAGACGCAATAGCAACGTTTCTCAGAAGCAGACGCCAACACCTGCCCACAAATCAACCCCTGGGAGGAGCCGCATATCTGAGCTGGAGGACCACTTTCTCCTCCAGCGTGCTGCCTTCTCCCAAGCTCTGAGCACAGCACCCAGAGGCTCTCACCTACACACTGCGCATCTTTACTGTCTCACTGCTGCTCCACTCATACAGCATACAATCCAAGGGAGACAGAGCAATCCTCCCTTGTGAAATCATGGATTGATATGTGCTCCTTGTTCCATTAGCTCGCAGAAGGAGATAGAGGTGCAGTGTGGGAAGACTAGTTTCATGCTTCATTTAGCACAAGAGACAGAGGGACCTCCATTAGATCTCTCTGCAATGCATCTCCTTTCTGACTATACATTAGGGCTCTCAGCCTGAAATCTCCTGTGGTAATATATGCCTCTATCGTAGAGCATGTCTTCGCAACACTGATACTACAGCTGAGGCAGTGCCAATAGCTATATTGATGACTGCAAATAAAAGATCCCAATACATTTGCTGGCTCAAATTTTCCAGAGGTGGTAAGTTTTTGATAATCTGCTAAGGTCTGAGTTAAACTATTAACAAAATTTCTTAGTTTGAGACAAGATATTGATGATGTTCTGACTGCTGGTAGCCACTACATCCTCTAGAATCTGAAACCAGAAGGAGACAAGAAATAATATATGAAAGAAAAATACCCAACTGTGTCTTTTACTAAATCTCACTTGACAGGGATCAAACGATTTCTTAATAAGTGCACAGATTTATTTTACATTAAAATAATTTGACCTGTTAAATGCCCTTGAAAGTGCCAGATTTGCAGCTCTAGAGATGCAAGCCCTATGCATATAAACAAATTAGGGATAGCATGGCAGCCAGGCAAGCTGCACTGGCTTGACAGCCTGCGAGAGTCTGACTGCTGGGCCAAAGGGAGAGTTTAACTAGATAGTAATTCTGTTTCCAAGCCCTTGAGGACAGTAATTCAGTCACCAAAGTATATCCATGGCCTTCAGGTGAAGGACCCTTACGCTCCTGTATCTCAGACACTGGCCGGGTGGATGAGATGACAAGCCTTTATGAGAGGAAGCATCTGCAGAAGTAAAGCCAAGTTCATTTCCAAGTTTCCAGTGAGCTCATTAACTAAGACAGTCAAATAACATTACTCAGACAGTCTGCTCTGCTCAGCAGCAGGAACTTCTCCACTTGCTCACACTAATAATGGCCAACAGGATAAGAACTGGATTAAAAGCACAAAAAAATACACCAAAACTACTTTTTTAGTCTGGAATGAAGTCAAGAAGTTTCAGATTTATGCCCTTAGAAAACAGCAATGCCGTGACTCAAACAGTGGTAAAGACAAACTCCAACATACTTCTTTCGCTGCTCAGCCAAGGAACTGCCTCTTGTCTGTGCAAACATGTCGAAGTCATCACGAGGATTACAGTGTTGTAGAGAGCTGAGTGTGCCACTGACGCTGTTTGTACCCAAGTCTGCAACCAGAGGGAAAAAAACCAAACTGATGAAATAGCAAACCATATGCAGGCACCACTGCCATGAGTATGTAGGCTACAGAGGAAGCCATGAACGATACAGGACAGCTGTAGATATCATCTAGTTAACAGTTCCAGCACTGAGCACAGTTCTGTCCAGAAGAGGCTGGAGGCTGCAAACCATGCATTCCTTTCAAGTCAAATTGTAGAGATTGTCTTATTCCTCCTGGAAGCAGCACACCATAAGTACTCCTCATCGAGAAACCAGCATTTGGGAATTGGCGTGCGCTTGCTGCCAAACTCATCCTGAGATATTTACTATGAACTAACGTGGTACGAATTTTGAGTATGGATACTAGTTTTCTCCACAATGTTGTCTCTCAGCTATTGACTGTGAAACCAACAGCTTCAAATCAAGTGATATGATAGTGGCACAGGGCTGAAAGAGATGGAGAACCTTCAGTCAAATCAAGTGATCCTATCAAGCAATCTGGTTTGATTCAATGTGAAACACTTAATAGTTTCAAAAAACCTTTCATCCAACAATTTCAAATATTCTTTGTATAAGGGGAATCAAGAACATTCACCAGACTGATCTCATGGAGAGTTATACCTAAGCAGAAATAAAAGCAGTAGTACAAGTTCTACCATGAACGAGAACTTGCACCCTTTCCTTCAGTCTCCCCTTTGGTTAATAAATCCCTCCCTTTGTGCCAATTACAGATCACTACAGTTCAGGGGAGTGGGAAAGCCTTCCTAATCCTGTGAGCCACATACCCAAACCTTCCGAAGGCTACATGGCAACATTATCAGGTAGCAGAGAGCCAACGGGGGCAGAAATTCCCTGACCCACAGGTGAAAAATGGCTCCTCGGAAATCCTGACAGCTCACTGCAATAAGGGCTTGTACTGGGTGTTCAGGTCTGTCACAGGGACCTCGGCAACTGCTCAGACTTGCTCCCACAATCACACCCCTGGATTGCCTAGCAGCCCCTGCATGCTGTTCAAGATGCACAGACTGGTTAGGCTTGAAAAAGTCCATGCATTGCAACCTCATGTTCATCAGCACTGTTTAGATCAGGTACTCACCGAGCCCTGCAAGCTGTGAAGAAAGTGAAGCTGGGGGGGCTGAGTTTCCAACCATTGGGCTCACTACAGCTGGAGAGCCAGGACCCAAATCTATTAAGTTATCTTCTGTCACTTCATTCAGTACCTGTTGGAACACAAGAAACACAGCAAGTTACACATGCCAGAGTGCAACATCAAACACCAAAAAATAATGGGCGCTTCTTAAAAAGATCTCTCTTGCATACTGCGAAACAGACCAGTCTCTTGGATACTACGGTGATGAGTGCAGTATAAAAAGGGTCAGACACCAAAAAACCTCAGTTTCACTGCTCAGTGCAGCAGGAAAGTCTCCTGGAGGTCATCTACATCTCTTCAGATTTAGCTAATGTGCCTGTGTTCTCCATCACTTTTTGCACTGGACCAACATCAGATCTAAGTCGAATTTGCTACCACCTTCCACATTAGGTATAAACTGTTTTCAGAAGCAAAAATTCCTTGTTGTGACTAAATTTACAATGCAGAGCCTGTACTGAAGTTTGCATCACACTGCAGTAGAAATGGCAATCAAACAGGCAAAGTAAATACAGCAAATGGTTAGAAGCATGCAGAATAGAAAATGTAACAGTTCCATGTATGAATTCATGATGAACTCGGATCCTGAACACTATAAAACAACTATAAAATATTTTTCATTGAAAGAATAATTAGAACTGTAACTTTTCAGCTTGGAAAGGGGCTGCTGAAAAAGCAGATGAGAGAGGTTCCGCAAATTATGATTGGCATGAAGAAAATTAACCTGAACAGTGGTATTCTAAGACAGAGTGAAGAAGAATTAGGTGGAGCAAATAAAAATCATCATATGCCTTGATCAAATGTAAACAAAATATTTATTATATATAAATACCCACATAAATATCTGTAAATGTGTAGTGAAACTGTGGAACTCACTGCTTAAGGACATTGTGAGTGCCTAAAGTTCACATGGACTCAAAAGCAATCAAAAAAGTTAATAACGAAAAGAAAATCCATTAAGGATTGTAAACACAGAGATGTTTTAGTGTAGTGTCTTCCTGAGCTAGAAGTTGTCACTTGCGGTTTGCCACATTCTTACGCTCTTTTCATGGTACCCACTATGAGCCACTACAGGCAGGACACAGGGCCAGACAGGTAAAAGGTCTGATACTGGTGATTTTAGTAGAGCTGGTACGGCGTAGCCGCTGATATAATAAATGGAGTTAGGTACTTACTCCATTGCTGGCATTTTGTGTTGAACGTCCCGATCTGTATCGTTCAAATCTGTTTAGAAAAAAAACAAAACCAAACAGAAAAACCAATGTGGACTATCAAAGGCACCAATAAACAACGAAAAACACAAGTTTAAAACAAAGCTATGACATGCTTGCCACTGAACTTAGTTTTCATTGGTTCAAGAGGGAACCCTGAAAGCTTTAACTCCAAGCCAGGACAAAGGGAGGATAGTTGCAGAACTTGCATTTTCGGCAAATGTGGATATTAAGTTAACTAATCTGATCTTGCAGCACACACACGCCTGAAAAACACCGTAGGATTGGTCTTTGGTTGGTTTTGGTATGTGTTTTTTTCATTAGGTGCTTTGTGATAGATATTCTGTTAGCCAAGGGACAGGAGGAACTGCAGCAAGATTGATGCTCCCAGCTAAATAAGCTGAGCACCGCAGCAAGTCTTACTCCCACTTAACAGCTCCCTCTTGCTGCAATACATGTAAATTAGAAGCCATACGCATGCCAGCACAGCCCTACCCAGGCAACACATGGCAAGAGAAACAATGATTAGCAGATTCATTTCTTAAAATATACTGGGTCAGCTCACAGATCGTCAGAGCCTATGTTCCAATAGGTTGGTACTTTCCAAGAATGAAAATAATGATGTTGGATAAAAATCCTGAAACTTCCTAGGGAAAGAAGTCTGGCTCTTCAAGATCGGTTCTCTTCTCTGCTCCTTCCCCAACCAGCTGTGCATCTGGGGCCGCAAATCTAAACCCAGCTTTCATGAACTCAAAAAAAGCAGGGGGAACTACCTCCTCCTAAGGCCTGTCTGAGGCCAGTCTTATCTCCTTCTTTACCAGGAAAAGCACCATGATTACGCTAAGGTTAGAGTTTCTCCTCATTTAAAAGTAGTTTCACACGTAACCTCTCTTTTCAATAAAAACCCCATAATATTCATATAATCCTGTGGGGTTTCTCCCAGATGGACAAAAGGGAATCTCAGGCAAACTAAACTGTTTTCTTAATGTAACAGAGGAAAATGCAGACTTAAAGGGCAGCAAAAACAAATTCAGGCCCAAATTTCAATTTTAGGAAACCGTGGGTGTCTACTATTACTGGAAATCCAGCTCCCTTAGCTGGAAACCTAAGAAGACACCTCCCACCTCATATTTCTCACCAAAAAGCTTATGAACCACACGTTCGTTTACATCCAAAGCGTCACAGCGAAGGCCAGTGCTCCTGCTTGAGTCACTGACGGAGCTCGGTACCCATACTAGAAATCAGCGCGATGAATGTGAAGCTTTTGGAATAGCAGAGGAGGAACTGGAATTTATTGAAAAGCTCAGACCAGTGCAGCTATTCTACCACAAATAGCTTGCTAACAGCACTCAGCTCACCTTTCAGGGTATAATGACTACAAATACATTAGCCCCAGCCAGAAAAGTTGCAGACGGGGGAAAACAGAAAAAATATCGAGGGCGACCAGACTGAGCCTTAGTGATAGTTACACTCTGCCACTTGTAAGAATCATGCTCGTGCATGAAAAACGTACCATTTCACATAAAAAGCCAACATTTGTTTCAAAGTTTGCCCCAATCTCCTCTGAACGACTAAATCAAAGACAAAATCGAGGCCACTGAATCTTCTTTCCAGCTTTTGCTGTGACAGCACAGATTCACATATCTAGAGCCTAATTTATTTTTAAAGGCTTGAGAAACAAAGCCCTGTGCTAAGAGCAAGGAACAAAGGATACTCTTTAGTGCCTCACTCCCCAGGCCTGTCATTAAGGGGAAGATTAAACTTTCCCAAGACTGCTGTATCACGTGTCACCTACTGCAGCAGATGTGGCTGACAGCGCCTTTGTCTAACATGTCGAAAGTCCTATGACCCAAGTCCCGCCCCTGGGGATGATTCCCGCAGACCAACTCTTCAAAACCTCAGCTCTGCACAAAACAGGCTTTTTTTTTTTTTTTTCTTTTTCTCTCTCAAGATTTTAAGTGTTACTTAAAAACAAACCCCTTACATGCATGAAGGTGACGCCCACCTCAGGCAGCTCCCCTTGCACCAGTACTGGAACTAGAAAGCTCAGAGATCAGAAGACAGAGAGAGCTCACGGGAGCCTCCCTAAGCCAGGAAGCAGCACAAGCATTTGTGCAGAGCGCAAGTTAGCAAGTAGAACCAGCGACTGTGGCTGTGCTATTTTCAGTCCCAAGTCCCTACATCTGTACAGCACCGCACAACGGGGACCTGCAGACTCTCTCTGCTAGTTCAGAGAGTTTTGCACAAGGCTGCCCTGCATTTTATGGATATGCCCCACAAAAATTCAATGGCTAGGACAAAAAAAAAAAATCCTAGTATTAAAGGATACAACTGAAACAGGAATGTTACCATAAAGAACATAAAAAGACTTTGTAAATACTTCCTGTGGTTTGGTTCTCTGTATTTTGTTATGTTGGACCATTGGCCCAGATGGCCAACTCTTGCCAACTGACCTATTTTAAACGTAAGTGAAAACCCAGAACAAATGAAAATAGTTGATGGAAAAGGTGCCCCACCTTTCGTATCGGAGGAAGACGTTATTTAAATCATCATTCACATGCAGCAATTCCTCTGTGACTTCTTCATTGGACACTCGTGAGATAAGCTCCACAATTCTCTGCTGCATAGCTCTACAGGTTCGGTTCAGTTCCTAGGGGGAATGCATTGCGCACACACATTCTGACAAGCAGCTAACAATAAGTAGATTTAGTTGAACTCTGTTCACAGCCAAACATATCCCCCAGCTGAGAAACACTAAGACAAGTCTATCTTTGCATGATTAAATGTCACCCAAAAGCACATCTAATCAAACATGCCCTTCAAGAGACGATGGCATAAAACCTTGAGAGCCTATTTACAATTCAACATCCTGATTCTTCTTTAACTCTGAACACTTCAGAAAATAAATATCTGTATTTTAGCGATCTGGTTTAAGAATAAAACATGTTAATACAACAGCTTTCCAGAAGAGAGCTTTCAAGGAAAATTCAATCTGGTCTTTTTGGCAATATCATCCCTAAAAACTAAAAGATGCACATGGTGGAACAAGTGGGGAAAAAAGGTTCATCAGGGCTAACATAAGGAGCTAAGCGTGTGCTAGGGAGAGAATTGTCGAGGACAGAGAACTTACTATGACTACTGAGAACATGAGGGTGAACACAAAACAATGAGCAAGAGCATGAAAAGATGAGCACTCCACACACACTTCAGTACTGAACTATATACAGAAATGTTCCCTTCAACCAAGCAAGTCCATAGAGACTGCAAAAAGGCAGTGGGGAGTTTCAGAAGAAAATTTTAAAGAATATAGAGTAAGGGCATTTCTTTTAGAAGTGTCTCATGCCAAGAAATCTAGGTTTGAGTTTGCCTAAACCAGGAGTTCTCATGCTTCCAGGACATCTCTTCCATCACCAATTACTTAGCAGAATTCTTTACTCCTGAAAGGCCTCAAGACCAAAGGTCAAAAACAGTATGTTGAGGAGGAACTACAAGAAGAAACGTGACATACTGCATGGCTCCACTGATTAGGCCCACAGTTTTACTTCAATAAGCACTGACATTTCAACTAAAGCATGTCCCTCTGTCATCTTCTACCCCCCCCAGCTCCACTTCACAGCAAAAATTCAGCACTAAACAAGGATGACTTGTTGGTACACAACCTTCCGGATGAAAGCAAAGATGTGTTTGTTTTCCTTGCTTGGTCTGACATCCTAAGCTCTGGATAAATTTCACCTAGTGCAATCCAGCTGCCTTAACAGCTTGAGGAATGTGTTCTCCAATGTCAGTTTTGATCCCATCACTTTAGAAGCAGATTGTGACATTTCAGAGGTTTGTTTGCTGCCTTTCCGAGAGGGCTGACAGTACCTATCTATTCTGCACAGAGCTGGCTCTCTAGCAAGCTGTTTACATTTGATTGTTGGAGAAAATGTCAGGAATTATTTAAGGAGGAGGGCTATATAAACCTCAAAGCAAGGAGTCCTTGCATGCAGCACCCGGCTCACAGCTTTCAAAAGACTAACCACCCTTTGTGATCAAAAACGGGTTCTCCCCAGCTCTGTGATTCAGATTTAGGATGCACCAGTCAAAGAAGGGAACCAGTTGGAATAAAGAATCGTTGCTGTCACTCCATTTTATGATCAAGTTCTTTCACCTTAAAGCTACGCTGTAAGGTTACGCTGTCAAGATGTTAGTAGTTGTTTCTGAATGTAAGCAAACTGGTTTACGCTGTTTTGGTCTGTTGCGCTTTCCTGGAAGCTTCTTTTGTTTTGAGCAGTCCGACCCAAATGGGCAGTAACTGAAAGGCTCTTTATTGCAAAGCCTCTCATCAGCTGCCACGATGGCTCTGAGACAAACACACAATACCGCTGCATGGGAGAGACCAGTTTTTGGATGGATTTCAAACTCTGATGTATCACAGAGCGCAATTCCCTGCCTTCCTCCAAACGTACTGCTGTGGGAGCCCATCCTCCCTGCTGGAGGATCAAAACAGAAGCCTATTTCTGAAGCTATGGAATGGCAAATACCACGTTAAGGGCAGCAGCCGGAACACTGGATCACAGTATTCCTTATTTGTGCTGCATGTGGTACTGCGTTACTTTCTTCAGGCAAAAGGGCACCTCGCTACCACCGGCCTGGGGAAACAGGTATGAAGCCTGAGACATGAGCTCAACTGTTTTCCCTTTTGAGATAATAAATGCTGCACTCAATTAAGACTTTCCAGCAAAGAAACCCCTTCCAATTACTCAGTCTAACCCTCCGGACAACATGGAACTTCACCCAAGTGCCTGCCTTAACCTCCAGGAGAAGCTATAGCACATTTTCTGGAAAGACAGTTAGTTCATATATAAGATTTCAAGTGGCAGAGAATCCACAGACCCTTGGTAATATTTAGTTCAGCTGGAAACATGGCGTGGGTTTTTTTCTTGCATAGTGACTGGGAATGTTTTGCCTCTGTAAAAGTGATGACGAAGGATATAAAAGAAGCAGAAATGCTGAGGGCTTACAGAGCCTATCACAATTTTAAGCTGCTTTGTGGTAATGGAGACCTTATATTCAACATTGGGAAAAATTTCTAGGTACATGGAGAAGCAAGCACTGGAACAAGTTTCAAGGCAAGTTAGGAAATCCTTGTCACTGGAAGCTTTAACAAATGAAGAACATCATTTGATGAGACTAAGCGGGGTCAAGTGCAGTCCACATTGATTTTGTAAAACAAGCAAACCAAGGCAGTGAAGTGAACTACAGCAAAAACCATCCCCCAGAGAAACTCAAGCACAAAAAGGATCAGAATCATACTTGCTAGGAAACTGTTACCTGGAGTAACTCAAGGTCTGAAGAATCCTCTTGTCCAGGTACCATTTCTGTCAGCATTTCAGACATCACTTTTGTATTCCCACGAACAATATCCAGTTCACTGCGCAGCCGGGCAATCTAAATTGAGGTGAAAAGACAGCAAAATACTGCACAATCTTTTGGTTTAAGCAGATCATTTTCAAAAACTGACTTTGTGATATCTCTGCTTCTGTCTGACTCGATATCTGAGGCTCCAGACATTCTAGCAGGGAAAAAAAAAAAAAGTAAAGATAAAAAGTTTACCCAGGAGAGAACTTTAGAAAAGCAACAGAAAAAGAAAAGAACTGTGTAGAACCACTCGCTATCATCACAAACCCAGATGTGCTACGCTTGTATGGAAGGGAAGCAATTGAAAACAGCAGCTAAAACCAGACCTCACTCAAATGTGCCTCACTCAAGTGTGGGGAAAGATGTACAACTTTTGAGCAGGACCTTTGGCCCTGAATTTATTATTTTTGCAGAGAGAAAATAAGATTCTATATTAGGGCACTTGGAAGGGTCTTAGGGATGCAGGCTTAACTCCTTGTTAGAAAGGCTTCCTGCATCTGCAAGACATTCTGTGCCTTTAAAGGAGGGAGGCTAATAAGAATAACTGCTACCCTGCTGAGTGGACTGGTATATCAGATTGTGAGGTTTCATAACTGCTGCCATTAGGAGGCCACACATACAAATCAAAAGCCTAGATTTTGCAGTATAATAGGAGGAAAGGCTACTAAGTAGAACCAGATCTAGGAGGCAATCAAAATCAAAAGAGTTGAAATGAAAGTTCCTTCGCAAATTGGTTTCTAGTTTGATCTGCTTGAAAGAGTCTCACTCAAAAGAATCGTCATCCCAATACCTGTTCAGAATTAGCAGTGATGGGACCAGTCACATTCAGAGCTGGGGCCTGAGGAGCAGAATACGCCGTTGGAGAAGACGAAGAATAAGAACTGGTGCTCATCCTTTGCTGAGACTGTGAATTGTGCATATTTGCTGCAGGATCAACTTCAGGAACACTCTGCCACATCAGAAAGACAGGAGTTCAAAAGCTGAATTGTGACAGCACTTGCTTTGTCAGCAACCTCAGGCCAAACACGTTCAAATATAGAACATAATTGCACCTTGTGGAAAAGGTCAGTGTAGTTACAAGAACAGCCTGGCAGGCCAGCCCATAAACAGACAGCTCCAACAAAAATGCATGCCCATATCTTTTGACCCCACCCACATGCATCTAAGTCAATTTACAAGAAAAATGAGAAGCAAAATAAAAACAAGAGCTGAAGATAAATAATTATAAATAATTTTAAACTAGGAACTAAGTTGCAGGCTTACAAAAAATGCTGTGATACATAGATACTGGATTTAATTAATCTTGACACAAGAATTGTAATCTTCCAGTCCTTGATCACCTGCATTTACCACTTCAAAGATTCATTAAGTTAAGTTTTCAGAGTGAATAATCAGAACACCTGTAATCATTAAGTCACTTCCTAGCAGCAGTTCTGTCAACTTTACAGACCTAACTTTTCAAAGGTGTCAAGATGGCACATTACTGTGGCATCAGTGAGAGATTCAGACCCTGTACACCTTTAAAAGACAAGCAGGCCTTGGTTCAGGGTTATCACCAACAGAAACAACCATACTTTTGAGAAAAGAAGGAAATCTCAATCATATACCCTGCTGGACTCTCTCTCAATAAATTAGTTGCATTTGTCCGGTGGTTTTGTGGTACAAGACAAGTGTACAAACCTCCTCCTTTTCTCAGATTGATTTTTGACTCAAGGGGGGACACCCCATTAGCATATTGGCACGTGAAATGCAGCTGCATTATGCTTCTCCTACATGAGCTTTCACTATTAAAAAAAGTCCTTCCAGGAGCGACAAAATGAGCCAAATTCAGAGAAACGGGAGGGGAAAGAGGAGTAGTTACCGACGACTCAGACGTCTCAGGAAAATACCCCCGGAAATACAATGTCGCAGCTTACCCTCTGTGGTGTGTGTATTGGAGACAGAGCATCAAGATCTGCCATGGGAAACTCTATGCCTTTCCTCTTGAGTTCTTCGTAAATATGCACTACTCCAGTTAAATCAGGGCTACTTCGAAAGGCATCAGCCCAAGCCTGGAAAACACGAGGGATTATCCATAAACCTTCCAAATGAAGCTCCAGCTCCACCCTGAACTCAGATACTGACTACAAAAGCTTTCACATATTTCAGCTTCAAAGGGAAGCTGTAACCATTAGATCTGGTCTAAAAGATCCCGCAAATACTATTAAGACAGTCACGTACACATTTTATTCGACTATAAAATAGCCAGGAAGCCAGCACACAGCAGCTATGTCTAACCCCTGACATCATCAGAATCTGTAAATGCAAACGAAAGCCTCTTCCAATCTCCTCTACTTAGTACTGATTGCATGCTGATCTTTTCTTGCACATCCTATGGCAAATGACCCACCAAAAAAAAGTCTGTGTGCAAGACTAAGATCTAAGCAAAATTCAGGAAGTCATACAATAATCTTAGGTAATCTCAATTTACTTTGTGAAACACCCTCATTTGTTGCCAAAGAAAAAAAGACAGCTGTCAAGTTTTCTTCAGTATTTTATTTGGACCAAACTAAAATAAAAAAGGTTCTTATATTGTGAAACATGCAGTCCCATGAGCTGCAGAACTAATGAAGCCTGGGTTCGTATAGAGCATATCCAACTCTTAGACACCCTGGTGTGTCAGAAAGAACAAGTTTAAAGAGAGAATTTCCCACAGCCAGAACACTCATAATATCTCTCCCGCATGAATTCCCTCGTGTCTAAAAAGGCTTCAATTCACATTTGAGCTTTTCCTTCAGTGGGAGTACTAAGTGCTTCTCTTCGCTAGCCAGCCTCCTGTACTCATGGAGCTGCTAGGAGCACAATATCTTGAAAGCCTCTACCCGCTGTCACTTTTGCTGGAAATTAGCCAAGTATTAAAAATTTAGGGCGAAGAAAAATTGAAATATTATGACTCAATTAGAAATGAAGCATTCCCCAAACCCCCACATATGTGAGGTAGAGTACCAGCGTGCTGGAGCCAGAACTACTGCGAGACGTGTGTGTGGGCTCTGAACTTAATTCATTTAGTCATCACTTTTACACTAGTTCTTTGACTATTTTTATTTTAACAGCTGTTTTTAACCACTTTTTATATTTGAGAGGAGAGAAATCAAAGACAGCAAAACAAGATAAGAAATAATATTAATATTTAACTTGCATTCCTATTCTTTTCAATTCTAAAAAAGAGCATTTCCTACCCTACGTGCCCAGGAGACAATCCATTATCAGCTGCAAGCTAACAACTCTGGGTTTGCTTCTCAGCTTTGTTAAGAGTAAATTAACTGCATCAACTGTTCTGATGCAGTGCAAGTCCAAACAGCCCTATGTGAGCTACAGAAAACAGCTCTGACTGCAAACAGCCATTCTGTTTCCTTGCAACTGACCTTCCAAACCATCCCTAATTCTGGTGGAGATATCGACTGCACAAGTAATTCTATCCTTGCACGTTCTCTGCATCTTCAATTTACATAAGAAATCATCTGAATGATACTTCTACATAATGGTGTTCCCCACTTCAACTCTATTTGCGAGTGAAAAATGTTAGGCAAGGGATGCTCTCTTTAATAATCACTCAAAAGAAACTAAGAGGCAAAAGTATGCTGCGTTGCTGCCCCCAACTTTTAATGAGGCTTGTTTGCCCAGGAGGATGCACTAATGCATCCTCTCTTTCACTAGCTTCCGATAAGTTTTGTTGTAGGCACTAATGACAGTGAACTCTCTTCATTTGCCTTTTTAATATATTGTCTCTTCTGCAACTCTTCTTCCCTGCAGAAAGGGGACACTTTTATTTGTATTCTTCTTCTGCCTGAGCTGGCAACATTATCTATATCAGTGTGTGTCTCAGAGGTCACAAGCAGGACTCGGCGCTATTGTCCTAAGTGCTGTCTACACACACTGTAAGACAATCCCTGTCCTAGACAGCTTACAGTTCAACTAGGCAAAAGTAATATTAGCTCTACTTTGCAGATAAGGAGCTACACACAGAGCTTAGGAGACTTGCCCATTGTCTAAACAAGTGTACGACAGAGGTGAGATTGAATTCAGATCTTCTAAGGCTTTGGGCCAGACTATCAAAGGTAGATACTTAGGATGCTGCTGTTTAAATCCCACTTGGCACCCCAGTGTGCCCAAAGAGGTTAATTAAATACCATTGCAAATCTGGCCCCTAAATCAGTGACCATCACAAGACAATTCTTCCAGGGTTGGACACTTTCTAACACACGTAACCTCCAAAGTATTTGCGGTGCCACTAGAAGTTTCCTCATGCTTCATCTTCGATGACGGTGCTCAGCTACTGGGCACCAAGGGGGTTTGAACGCCGAGGTGATACACAGGCTCTTACCAGAGGCACAGCAATAAGGAATATTTCCAAGGCTTTTTAGGAAGGTGAAGAAGGAACGATAAGCAATATGGAACACATGCTAATTCATGTACACTGGGAAACAGGTTGAGAACATGAGGCACAAGATGCCTCACATCTCAAAACAGTCAAGTCTCTAGATAAGAAATTGGATGGCAGCTTCCTCTACCCTCGCTATGGAAAGGCCCAGGAGTGCAAGAGCTGTATGGTTGGAGACATACTCTATTTGCACAGCTTTTTTCCACGCTTCCAAGTGCTATTAATCCTCTCACTTCTGTTCTTATTAATTCCCTGATATCAAATTGTAAAGAGCCTACAGAAGGGGATAAATGTAATGTTCGTGGAACAGAGCTGAGAAGAGATCAGCCCCCCCGGCATGGAGTTAACTCCAACTGCAGGGAGCTCTAAAGAGCAAAGTCGAAGCTAAGCAAAGTGGTCATGACGTACGAGATATTTTGGGTGTGCGTGTCCATAGGGCAGCTGAAGATGAGTGACTGCAATCACTTTTTCAAACTTGTCAGGCAATCTGGAAAACAAAGTCCCCTACCACCTCCAGCTAAAGAGACACTAACAGAACCCACCCACAGGCAACTTTCATAATTCTCAGGCTTTTTATACCAAAAGGCATTTAGTACCCAGAGTCAGGCTTTTAGCTCTACTGCACTAAGTCTACTCAGATAAAGGTCTGTTTAATACACTGAGGCAATGACTGCGGCTTTCTGGTTATGTTACAAATACTTCCATCTTAGTTGCATCGATGACCGGGAATCCACTTAAATCCAGGACACAGCGTAACCAACATTCTCTAAAACACTGTAGCGGAGCAAATAGTACAGAAACATGCACAGTTTCTTTTTATGGGACAGTATTTAACCTCATCTCCTAGTTACTGCTTGCATTGGCTCTCCCACCAAAGCAGGCAGACACCCAAGGGCTCAGTCAGATGCACAAGAGTTGTTTTCAATAATTGCATTAATTTTGTGCTATTTTTTAAAAAAGCTTTGAGATCAGAGACCAGCAATAAAAGGATCCCACAGAACCCAGTGCAACGCCCACCTAATTCCCCCACACAGCCTATTTCGGAAATCACTTATTTACAGTGTCGTGCTCTAATGATGTCCCCCTATTTGTGCATCCAAATAACAAATAAACCACCAGAAATTCAACTGTGTGCTTTGCCACAAAAAACAGAAGTATATCTGGAAAACTACGCTGCACATTTGTAAGTAGCTTCCCACAAGAAACACTGCAGCAGGTTTATATCATTTTAAATACGCAGTGTCTTTTAGTCTCTGGTGCATGCAATAGCCTGTAGGAGCTTAGTGATAAAGCTTCCTATAATTGTCAGATTTCCTCCAGGCAGGCACCAATGTTTCCTCATGTGTTGCTAATGGTTTGTGGAACTAACATGGCTGTTTATTGTTATGCTGCGCAGAAGGGGAAGTGGCAGACAAGCCTATGTCTGAACTTCCCCACTGCAGGCAAGGATTTGACAGTCTGCTTTTACTGCACAATAACCAGAGAAAAGACACCAAAAACATTTTAACTCCTGTATGGTCATTTACTTTTCTATAACCATCTTTAAAAGGAATTCAGAACGCTTTCTGATGGAGGGAAACAGCTCCATTTTACGGTCAGCAAAACAGACACAGAAAGGTAAGTGTTCTGCAACTGACAGCGAAAGTGCGATCCTCTAAAATTTCCTGGCCTCAGACAACAAGCCCATCGCAGAAGCAGGTCTCCAGCTTCTAGATTTGACTGTTAAATTGCAAAGCCATCCACTTCTTTTAGAGCAGAGTGGTACCTCTCTTAACTAGACTCCAGGCATTTCTCCCTGGATAAAATATCTATGCGTGTGCATGTCTGCTCTTCCCCGCCAATCTGGATATATTGTTTGTTTTTACATATAAAAAACTTGCCACATTTTTAATGATGACAGCATGTTTAGCGATGCGTAGCACTGAAGCAGACAGTCCTTATTTCAGGCAGCAACATATGGAAGCAGAGACAAGCTGTGTACCTGAATCAGCGCTAGTACTTTATCCTGTACAATAGTGGGGGGATTATTCTTGGGCGAGATGATTTTCACCAGAACACCATCTATGAAGTCACGGTTTGCCACTAAGACATGAAAGCGATGGCCACAGTTCTTCACACAGGTCTCCAACACCTACACACAAACAAAAAAACATTCCTTGTTGAAGCAAAGCTTGATCACACACACAGCACTTATGTGGTTCGCTTCTGATTTTGGGGTTGTTTTTGTTTATGTTATTTTAAAACTTTTGATGGGAGGGAGAGAAAAAGAGGAGAAATTACACTTTTACTCTTAATTCTTCTTTTCTTCCCCAGTTTTACCAAAAAGCTTACTTTTCTACACACACATTTAGATGTACCTCACCCACCATTAACATACTGGGCACTTCTGTGATCAGCGTTTGTCTGTTTTCCAGGTAAAGAAATACGAAGTTTCTTCCTCTTCAAAGCAGAACTTTCCAACCTGCGCAGCTGAACAGCTAAGTACACAGCGTCACATCACGAGCAGGTAAGACAGAGGACATCCTGTCACAGTGAGATATTAGCGTGCTGTGGCACTCCACCATTTTCGATGTACCTGGAACACAGCTGGACCCGCTTGCTCTGAGCTATAAGCCATGTTTTAGAGTTGGGAATTCAGGTGAATGATCTTCACTCATTCAAAACACTCCCTTGTGAATGCTCTGACAGGTTATACTTTGACACATTTTCCCCCTGCAACCTAGCTAGAGGCACCTTCCACTTGCCATTCAACTGCCATGGAAGAACAGCTGTTGATTTTTCTCTGAAGAACATGATTAGCATGGAGATAAATCCAATGCGTCACTTCTCCTTACAGCCATGCCTAATAACCGCTGCGACTCCATATCTGAGGAGTCTGTAATTACTCTCCTACTTCAGCTACCTTCATCAGCCCTGATGACACGGACTCATTCCTGATGAATTTCGCTCTGTCCTGCACAATGGATAATCTCATGGTTTGGTCTTTGGTAATCTGTCAAAATGACAATCCAGGATAGGAAATGGCAAGAAGACAGAAAGTACAGTCACGCTTCGTCAGGGAGATGCAACAAGAGCTGTGTGAAAGAATCATACAGATCACCTACCCACAGCAGTACAACTCGATCTAGTTACTGCTGCTCATTCCTCACACCGCTGCGGCGCAGAGCCTGCCCAGCACCGCGCATTCAGGAGTGCTGCATTACCCAGGAAACCCCTAGCTAAAGTCATCAGTAGGAAAGGTCACCGGCAAATTATCTCACACCTTAGCAGTGCTGCCTAAATGCACAGAATATAATTTACACTTTATTGAGCGAAATTAGATCAGCATAAATTAATTTGAGTCTCCTACAGAGATCCATTCACATGGGAAATTGTGCATCAGCTACTTATGAAGCTGAAAATATGGCAAGTTCATCATCCTCACTTGCAGATATGCCCACAGCTGTTGTCTTGGAGTGGAGAAACGGTAGGACACAGGGAGATGAGAGTAAAAGGGAAAGCCCCAGAGGGGACACAGACCCATTTGGGCTACTTTAACTTTCCTCAGTCAGTACTTGGGATGAATAAGAGCCCAGAAAAAAAGCAGAAATCAACTGAGTCAGAAAAATACTATGCAAAGCTTCCAGCAACACTCCCCAAGGAAGTGAGGAGGCAACTGGAGAGAAGAAAAGGGCAGAGCACTGGCTGTTAAAGCAAATAGTGTGTACATTCAAGAGAGTGCCAGGAAAAGGAAAATGACAAAAGAAAAGGGTTCTGCCCTTGTGAGGCATTCCAGCCTGCCCCCACTCACCGTCAGCGCCAGCATGACCTCTCTGTAATTTTTGTTTCCGTTCAGCCTCTTCTTCAGTGCTCGAATGGCATCCTTTGGACTGAAGGAGAAACACACCATTTTTAAAAGACAGCTCAGACACTTTTCACATGCCATATACTGTGGGAAAAGGAATCCTTTACCATTTCCAGCTGGACACAAGCATGTGTGTTAACTTCAGATTACTTGACGATAACCAAACTAGGGTCATGTAGAATTATGTGAGGAGACAAGATATCACAGAAGTCAAGACCAGAGCAATGCCTGAGGCCTCCAAAAAGGCAAGATGTTGATCAAGCAGGAAAGATTGACAGCCACTCAGAAAAAGGCCCAGGGCATAAGACCAGCGATCAGTTCTCCTGCAAACTGCAAGCAGCACAGCTGTTCTGATGCTGAAGGAGATGTATCAGAGAAGCTCTCTATTCAAATAGCTGAAATTAATAGCATCGTAGCACTGCGAAGAGATACACCTGCTGAAAACAAGAACCCCAGAAGTACAAACTCGGTACCCTCTCCAGCAATACATTTTTCATGCCAGCCCTCCCAAGCAGAGACTGATCACGGTAAGTGCTGCATCATACTGTGGTTTTCCGAAATGTCTAAGGAGCGGGAAAACAAAGCAACTCATATGCAAACTACATTCAAACTACAAACATCTGCCCCCAGACTCACTGCACCTCCTCACATGCTGGGTACAACTGGATGAAGATAGTGCTCATGAATCTTTCAAAGTTCGCCAAAATAGCACATACCCTTCTTCTGTCTCGTTGATAATGTCACAGATCTCCATGTTAAGTGTCCAGTCTTCACTCTGCAGAGAGCCATCTGTGGCCTTTTCTGTAAAGTAAAGAAAAATAAATCTTTTCATATCTTCCTAATTAGGTACTATACTTCAATCCATCTTCAGTTACTCTGAGCTGAAACTATCCAGTAAAAGAAAGACAGAAGAAAAAAAAGAAATTCCTACTGACTGTAAGCAATGTCAAACTTTCCCTCCTGGTTTTAGGGATCAGCATAGACGTTTCCAGACAGAATCAATTATCCCTCAATCTCAACAGCTTCAGCCCACATAGACGGGCTGTTCTTCAGATTCCTGAATTCCTGGGAGAGTAGGAAAATGTCAGCTAATTCCAATTTAAACTTCTCAGATGCTGCATTAATGGCAAGTTATGAGGTAGGAAAATCTCCCCCAAATCAACATGACCTCCTCCCTGTTTTAGTAGATAACACCTCCACATGAATCGAGGGACTAAAAATAGCAACTTGGAGACAGAATTCAAGGAAGTCCAGAATTTCAGTGTGGAAAGAACCACCAGCACAAGAAAACATTTAGCACATGACAATTGAGGTCACAATATCATTCATGGGGAACCCCTTTTGCCTGGGACTCTTTTTCTCGTGTGCTGCCGTCCCTCAATATCTGCTTGCCAGGGGGCTGAGCACTGCTTCCCTCTGCCCCACGCTATGTCCCCAGTTTCTTCTCCATGCTGGGGCTACGTACACATCTCCCATGCACATCTCCTAGCTCCCAAACGCGCCCTCACTATTTGTGTGGCAGGTAAGTAAGTGACTCTGGCATCTGACTAAATTCTATGGGAAGGATGACCTATAGCACTGTGACAGTGGCATCTGCCAACTGTTGGCAGCTTAATTTATAGACGTCTGCAAGAGTAGCATAACCATAACTTCAAGTAATCAGTTGACAAGAACTACTTCCTCCTTGGGATTTCCTCCTAAATCAATATAGTTCTGTCTAGTGGTGCCTAGAACATCCTCTGAATTTTTCACACTTTTCACTTGCAGCATTCAAACCCTATCTGCGTGACACTACCCACATTCAGAAATGCTATCGAGTTGAATGTAAAGCCTGTTCCTGGAGAGACCTAAAAAGGGGACCTTTGAGCCAAACACGACCTTCTCCTCCAAATCAGTCTAGGTTTTTCTACAGAACCCTGGCATCCAATGTTGGAAGGCAAACAGGGTAAACAAAAGCGTTTTTAAAATGTAAAATAAACCAAAAAAACCCACCAACTTCTAAACATTTAAAGCAGAAACAAAACCACGGGTACCATCTTCCCCATCTATCCTTCTGTCTTTACATTGGACCCCAATCTGTCTCCCAGAACAAAGCAGATTTTGTTTGAGAACGCCAGGCTCCAAGGACTTCACACATTTCTTTTTCTGTTTACCAACCATGTTTTTGCCATTAACATTTCTATCATTGTGACTGAGGATATAGATGCCCACAGGTCGTAATTATGGGACATTATTTGGAGAAAGACTATGTGTCTGGGTAATTCAAGTTTCAGCGACTTGTCTACACCAGAATAGTGGCTAAAGCAGCTCCACCAAGGACAGAAATTACAGAAGTCTGAGACAAACCAGACAGCACATGCAAAATCCCCGCAGAGAGTGCTGAAAAGTAGTCACCTATCTCCAGAATGGAGAGGACCCAGTGGAAAAGGAGATTATGAAACAGGAGATCATTCTTTGCAGGCCTCAACTCCCATTCAGAGAGGCAGTGCTGCAAGGCACGCAGATCGCTGGGTCTCACCCACCGGGGCGGAAACGGAGGCTGCAAAACTCCCAGCTGTGCCATCTTCACCTCTGGGTGTTTTTCAGCTATCACCACCTCATGGTAGAGTTCACTTCGGCAACTAAAACTCTTTCTGTTTGAGGAGGAGCCTCAGAGAGATGCATAGCTTCCAAAATGTCCAATAAATACTGGAGAGGTTATTGAGCATTTTCCATTTGCTGCATTTTGGATACGTTGAGCAGAGATTCTCTTAAGGAAGAGCGCAAAGTTACTCGTAACAATCCATTTTAGTTGCATTTTGTTCTACTGTATATAAGGCTTTACTGTTATAGAATGGGATCTGCCTTCACCTCCATACAGTCCTTGTTGCTTAGGAAAACACTTTATTTAATATTAGAGAAAAACCCTTAATAGTCCGAGATATAAAAAAAAAATCACTACATGTGCTCTGCTGGAGAAGGTGATCTCCAAAGCTGCAAAGGATTTATAAGCACAGTGCTGCAAAATGAGAAAATATGCCTTAAATAGAGGGTATTCCTTAAGCTAGGCGTATGATTTGTTTTCTTAATCTAAAACTATATTAACAAATTTGTGTGTTCTTGACAGCATTTGGCATCAGGCAGCAACTTAGCTATGTTCGTACTCTCTGGTCTGCTATAATCACTTTTTATAAATGATTGCGGAAAATGCTGATCCAGCACAAAGTTGCGCTAGCTGCTACTTCATTCATTGGTCTTGTAAAACCCATTTAGCTAAGGTTTATTTTGACAAAATGCTTATATGGCAGTACTCCACAGCTAAAAACTGTGATATTTTGGAGATGGTAGAGTGAAGAGATGCTGCTGCAGCACTGTATGAAGGGTAGAACACAAACACTCGTCGGGGGTCCCCAGTAACCTCATTCGTATTTCCCTTCTGAGATACACTAGGGAAAACAAAATCCTCTTTCTCCCAGAAAGTTTGGTTACTGCCATTTTATTTTTGCATTTCTGTTCCTTAGTCAGAGTAATACATGGTTGAGACTGCGTGGGTTTAATTCTTTTTGAGAATTAGTTCTTTTCCCTTTGGGTAATATTTAATTCGAATAAGAGTCGGAAGCTAATTTTAGTCTCTTCTTCAGCGACAGAGAGCACACAAGCACTTGTCATCTGTAGTCGTTTGTCCTTTGTAGGGTGTGTGACCCAGATTTGCTGCTGCAGTGCTCTCTCAACTGTTAGAAAGGAGTTAACCGACTGCAGAGAAGGCATACGAGTTTGTGTGTGATTTGTTTGAAGAACAGTATTACGCTGCAATGAATTGAAAGCTGGTAGAGCTCTTCCAGAACCAAAACACAGCAGGTCGTCAGTTTTGGATTTCTGGTGAAACAGCTCTCTCCGCACTCCTCAAGTGATTCCCTGGCCGACATATCCAAAAAGGCATTAAATTAAAAATACTCAACAACCTCTCCAGTATTTATTGGACATTTTGGAAGCCATGCATCTCTCCGAGACTTCTCCTCAAACAGCAAATAGATACGACTGACAAGATTAAACAAATTTTGGAAACTATCACAGAATTGTGAGGGAATGGCATGCAAATCATACAAATACCCTTTAAAAAAGCCACCAGTTCCTCAATCTCTTTCAAGCTCATTAAAAGGCATCTAAATGGCACTAGTTCACACAAGGACTCTGGAACATGACCAAAGGATTCCAGGGTGACATAAGAAATGTTAAATAAGACAAGGAAAAAAGCAACGAGTAGGAGTCCCTCCTACCCCTCCCCTCACTGAACCGAAGAGTTTATGGTATAGTTTAATTGTGTAACAAAAAGGCTGGCAGCTCCCAGACCCGGTGCCAAGGGTGCCTTGCACAGCTTCTGCCCCTACAGCGACTCCGAACGCTCTGTTATTGCCTCGTTTGTCACCGCAGCAGGGGCCAGCAGTTATTGTCTCACACGGAGACGTGATACCACCAGTAAGATCATCAGAAAGTCTCTCTCAGAAACAAGATGCTATCGGTTCCCACCACATTTCCCAAATTAAAGCAAAAATGTACTGGTAGAAAGAAAGACAATCTGGCTCTCCACGCCTGACATGCTGCAGACCTTGGACACCGCATATGCAGACGCAAGCATTAGCTTATCTCTAGCCTGCAAAGAAAAGGAGAAAAAATTGTGCTATTTTTTCATTCACACCTTCCCTCTGAGATCTAACTCTTGTGGCCGCGTTTCTGCACCCTGCCAAATGGCAATATCAGTATTTCCCTGCTCGCACTGAAATTGTGTATATTTGATGGCATTCAGAAGGCGCTGCGCAGTAGCGTAGTTTCCAGGGTGAACTGTCTCAGTGCACACCCCCCTCCTGAGCCAAACCTCTTCCCAAGCAACCTGCTCTGACCCGGGAGATGTCACCACAAGGAAATCAAATCAGAAATGCCCATGTAACTGCCACGTAATAAACAGGCTATGCAGGGCAGGTCACAAACGTTCTTTTAAATGCAGGAAAAAAACCAGAAGAACTTTTACCCCCCATCTTCAACCCAGCTCAAAAGGTACCTAATAAAGAAATGCTAACACTGGTGGTCCTTGAGATGCTGCTCTCACAGCCCTTTCCAGTTCATACTACTTTTGCTTCAAAGTTACAGTTCCATGTTCATGACACTCTTAAAATTCAACTTTGTTCACATAGGGAGGAGATAAAGCAGAACTCCTCGCTCCTCCCTGCTTCCCCCTTCCAATACTCGCCTCTGACCATTACACTGAACTTGCCAACGAAGACAGCCTGAAGATTTTCATTAGGATTGCAACTGCACAAGTTGAAGTCTGTATGCTATTTAACTCACATGCCATATGCATGTTTATGTAGCTGAGTTGGAACAACTCACTGCTGGAAGCACTGAGAACATCTACTCTAGCTGAATGGTGACAGCAGGCACGACCAGGGTAAAAATCTCCCCAAAAGATTTATCTATAAGCACCAGTAAGTGACTGTGGTGCTGTATAAAGTTCTTGGAAGAAAAGGCAAAAGTGAAAGTTAAATGTTGCAGTAGCTACAAATCACATTAAATGAAAATGGGACAACTGCGCTGTTTTCTGTCTGAATACCAGAATCTTGTGAATGAACACATCTTTGTACTCAGAGAAATCAGTTTTCTGTCTTGGGACTTCTCCGGATGTTGCTTCGGAGACTTTTGATTCATGTGTTTGGGAAGAATTATATATAAAAAAATCATCTTCTGTTTCTGAAAGAAGCATGTACACCAATGCACCATATTAGAGAGATCCAAAAGCAAGAAAGTTCCAACTCCAAATTTCTCCCCTT